TCGCGGGGATAGTTATACACCAACAGATAACATTGTATGCAATTTTAGAAAGAGAAAATGCATAAAGACCCCATTCAACCTGTCCTGGAAAATTATTTATACACCTAAATTTTACGTGTGTCCTATTACCACCTTATCCTTATCCAAGATGAATTTATTTAACCCCTAAAATGCCACAACCAAATTCTACCCAAGTAGTGTTTACACGCGCTGGCACGTAGCATTTTCGTAGGTTTTTTCATTTTTTTTCTTCCTTTGACTGGAATAATCGTCCCCCTTCCCCAACCGAACCTTTCTTTCTCTCCTCAAAAATATTCCAAACATTTTTATCAACTTTTCCAGCTTGCCTAGGAAATTTCAGTCACATTTGTCGGATCTCCATGGGCAACCAAATTACAACTAAAGAAGTGACTTTTTCAGAAAAAGTTTTTTTGATGGAACCTTTGCAAGAGAAATTAGCTGACTATATTGACAAGAAAATGGTCTCTCTTTTTGGGTTTTTCTCGTCAATTTTCTTCTTCCATCTTGGTCAAAAGATAAATATATAAAGTAAAGTTAATGTATAGAGCACAACCGCAAAGCAAGAGGAAGCTAAGAAAGATCCAATAAAGTGTTGGGTTTTCATTTTCACCTTGGTTGTTTGCTCCGGCCAAGCTGTGAAGAACAATTGGAGGGTGGGGGAGATGATAAAATAGGTGTAGAAAGAGCTATCAATCTTTAATTTTTGTTCTATTACGATTATGATTATATGGTGCTGCTCTCTTGTGACAATGGAGGAAACAGAAAGAAGAAAAGGAAAGAGGAAGGAGAAGAAAAGAAAACAGGAAAATGAAAATAAAAATGTGATAGAGGTTTATGCACGGATTGCAAGGTCATCCCGAGTGAGAATCATATGAACCAGCATATGCTTTTGATTATGGACCTAGAGATCAGGTGGACGAGGAAGAGGAGGGCTATGTCTGGTATACCTAGAGTTAGGTGGGGTGCATTGACTAAGGACAAGGCCCAGGAGTTGGGGGAGAAGTTGCTGGCTATGGGGACCTGGAGGAGTAGCGGGGATGCGAGTTGTATGTGGTCTATGACAGCAAATTGCATTAGAGAGGCGGCGAGAGAGGTTAGGGGTCTCAAAGGGTTTTTCTGGTGGCCATAAAGGGGACTGATGGTGGAACGAAGAGGTTTAGAGGAAAGTGGAAGCCAAGAAAGCGGCATATTTTTGAAGCTTGTAGAGAGTATAGACGAGGGGCAGAAGAGTGCTCACAGGGAGGGGTATAAGAAGGCTAGGAAGGAGGCGAAGTTAGCGGTTACTGCAGCTAAGACCGCCGCGTTTAGTTGTCTATACGAAGAAATTGGGGAGAAAGGCGGGGGACAAGAAGTCGTACAGGCTAGCGAAGGTGAGGGAGCGGAAGGCCCAGGATCTGGACCAAGTGAGATGCATAAAAGATGAGGAGGGAAGAGTTTTATTGGAGGGGGCGCTGATTAGGCAGAGATGGCAGTCTTACTTCCATAGGCTCTTGAATGAAGAGGGAGATAGGGGCATTATGCTGGGGGAGTTGGAGTACTTGGAGCAGCAGCGAGATTTTTGGGTACTGTAGACGTATACGAGTGAGGGAGATTGAGGGGCTATGCGCAGGATGAGTAGGGGTAGAGCGACGGGGCCGGACGAGATCCTGGTGGAATTCTGGAAGAGCGTGGGTAAGGAGGGCTTGGAATGGCTTGCTAGGTTGTTTAAAGTCATTTTTAGGACGAAGAAGATGCCCGAAGAGTGGAGGCGGAGTACGATGATCCCGTTGTACAAGAACAAGGGGGATGTCCAAAACTGCAACAACTATAGGGGTATCAAGTTGTTAAGCCATACGATGAAAGTGTGGGAGAGGGTGATTGAAGGGAGGTTGAGGAGGTGTGTGTCCATTTCCGAGAACAATTTGGTTTCATGCCGGGACGGTCGACCACTGAGGCCATTCATATTGTGAGGAGATTGGTGGAGCAGTTTAGGGCGGTAAAGAAGGATTTGCACATGGTGTTCATTGACCTGGAGAAGGCCTATGACAAAGTCCCTAGAGAGGTTCTATGGAGATGTTTGGAGGTTAGAGGAGTGCCTGTAGCGTATATTAGAGTGATTCAGGACATGTATGATGGAGCTAAGATACGGGTTAGGACAGCAGGAGGAGACTCGGATTACTTTCCGGTTGAGATGGGGTTGCATCAGGGATCAGCACTTAGCCCGTTTTTGTTTTCCCTGGAGATGGATTCTTTGACACGTCACATTCAAGGGGAGGTGCCTTGGTACTTGTTATTTGCGGATGACATAGTCTTGATTGATGAGACGCGAGGTGGCGTTAACGAGAGGCTGGAGGTCTAGAGACATACCCTGGAGTCTAAGGGTTTCAAGTTGAGCAGGACCAAGACAGAATACTCGGAGTGCAAGTTCAGCGGTGTTACCCAGGAGGCGGACGAGGATGTGAAACTCGATACGCAAGTCATTTCCAGGAGAGAGAGTTTCAAGTATCTGGGATCTATAATTCAGAAGGATAGGGAGATAGATGAGGATGTCACACACCGTATCGGAGCAGGGTGGATGAAGTGGAGGCTCACTTCCGATGTCTTGTGTGATAAGAATGTGCCGTTAAGACGTAAGGGTAAGTTCTACAAGGTAGTGGTTAGACCGACTATGTTGTATGGGGCAGAGTGTTGGCCAGTCAAAAATTCCCATATCCAGCAGATGAAGGTAGCGGAAATGAGGATGTTGAGATGGATGTGTGGGCATACTAGGTTGGATAGAATTAGGAATGAAGTTATTCGAGATAAGGTGGGAGTGGCCCCTGTGGAGGCGAAGATGCATGAGGCAAGGTTGAGATGGTTCGGGCATGTTAAGAAGAGAAGCGCAGATGCCCTTGTCAGGAGATGTGAGAGATTGGCCTTAGGAGGTGAGAGGAGGGGTAGAGGTAGGCCAAAGAAGTCTTGGGGAGAGGTGATCAGGCGGGACATGGCGCAACTTGAGCTAACCGAGGATATGACTCTAGATAGAAAGGTGTGGAGGTTGAAGATTAGGGTAGAAGGTTAGTAGGTAGTCGTGCGTCTCCTTTTGTCTTCTCTAGCTCGATAATATTAGCGCTAGTACGGTACCCTATTTTTCTTAGTTTGCTATATTCGCATGTCTCGTTTCGTTGTTACTTGCCATTGGTATTTCCGTAGTTTGCTAGCAGTACTTCGTTCATATTCTCGTCTGTTGCCTCGGAATTAGTTTTCTAAATATGTTATCTTGCTACTACTTGTTATCAGTACCCCTTTCATATTATCTGTTGCTATCTTCGATTTAGCTTTCTATTTATTGTCTTGCTATTACTTGCTACCATGGCTTCTCTCACCTCCTTTAGCCGAGGGTCTATCGGAAACAATCTCTCTGCCTTTCCAGGGTAAGGGTAAGACTGCGTACATCCTACCCTCCCCAGACCCCACTTGTGGGACCACACTGGGTTGTTGTTGTAATATTACACCAAATACAACTAATTAAATGTAACAACCAATGGAAAATTAATATCTGTAAAATTTAAGTAGCTTTTTACATTTTCTCAGCCTTCCACGCGCTTTGAGTAAGGTGAAATTAGTTTCTTTGCCACCTCACCTTTGAAGGAGGTACTAATTTCACTTTGAATAAGAATAGGGTGGTACTAGGACACCCATAAAGTTTAGGTGTGTAAATAATTTTCCAGGACAAGTTGAGTGGGGTCTTTATGCACTTTCTCTTTTAGAAAAGTAAACCATTTACCAAATGATAGAGGTATTTTTAGCCCTTATCGGTTGTTCAAATTGCAGTTGATGTAGTCCACATAAGGCGGAACGATAATAAAGGTAAGGATCAAATATTGTACGTCTAATTCCATAACATGTTACATCATAATACAGCATAGGTGCGTGGAGCTGCATCAGGAAGCAGAGAAAACCTTCATAACCCACATTTAGAGCCCGTTTGGATGGGCTTAATTTAAGTGGCTTTTAAGCCAAAATAGTTTCCATAAGTTAGGAATTCTAGCTTTTGACTTTTGGCTTATTTTTGTCATTTAGCTTAAAAGTAAGTGCTTAAAAGCACTTTTTTACTTTATCCAAACACTACAAAATAACTTAAAAGCACTTAAAATAAGTCAATCCAAACGGGCACTTATTTCTATGTTGCCATGTTGGTGTTGGGAACTGAGGCCTTAGCATGACGAATGGGAGGAGACTCATATTTATTGAAGGAACTCATTGATCTGTTCAACTTAGCCAGAATACTGATGCAAATGTTGCATCGCATAAATGAAAATATGGTTGATAACTAGCAATTTGAAGAATTATTGAGAATGAAAGGTAGAAATAATGTTACAATTATTGAATAGATTGGAAGGGGCACAGATTGAGATGCCTGACTCTATTAAGTGGAAGCATTAGAGGAATGGAAATTGTTAGTTAAAAGTCAGGCTATGCAACACTTTTCTATGTTGATATACTGTCACTTCCCTGGCCTTGGAAATTTATTTGGTAGAGGAAAGCCCCTTCTAAGGTGAATGGGTTTAGTCAAGATTTGCAGCCCGTGGTGCTTGCTTTAACATAGGGTAATTAGGAAAAACGCGGTTTCAATATTAGCAATAGGTGCTTGCTTGACAATATTACACCCAAGTATAAATCTCTGTCAAAAACAATTACATGCCAGTCATGGCATTTAGCTCAGACTTTGTAGTAGTTTTCTACCAGGACAATTAAGAGCAATGCTATGGGAGCTACATAACAAAGAAAGCAACCCAAAACATTTTCTATCATGAAGATAAAATACTTCGGCAAATAGTGGTTCCAAACACTTCCTAATATATCAAAGGAACCCAAAATGCAAATGATGTCGATGTCAACTAGAAATGAAGGTTTCAGCTAAGACAAATAGTAAATTCCAAGTAGGAAGACGTAGAAGTGAATAGGAAAATGAAAGAACTAGCAAAGCATTTGCGCATCCTGCTTTTAAGATCAGAAAATTGCAGAAGGAAGAAATTCTGACATGGCATATGATCAACATCAAGAAAACAAAACGAGTGGTCCTTAGTATCATTGCTACCAAGCCTACTACAACATAGAAATTTGGCAGATAATGTAACCACCCGATAGCTGCAAAAACACAAGGTCTGGAAGTATGATGAGCCCAAAAACATCTACCTATAGTAGTCAAGACATTAGATTTACAGCCACTATTTTAATCAAAGAGTTTTAATACCCAAGAGCATAACAAACTGCCACGCACTCCTAGCTCCTTTAAGAAACTTTGACCTTCCAATAAATTAAAGGAGGCCCCCATTGTCAGCCGAAATCTGCAAAACAATGTCAAGTTGCAAGAAATTATTAAAATTTTAAAACAAGAAGTAGTTGCATTATATTAAGAATATTAGCACCTAAACTTTAGTGAACTTTATCCAAAACTTTATAGGATTGAAGGAGTTGAAAAATAGTATGAGCAAAAGAATCGTTTCTAGATTTGTGTTTGTCTCATACAGAATATGCCAACTCAAAAAATAGAATTAGCTATTATGTTTGTCATGCATGTAGCGAAAATGTCAATACAGCCACAGTGTATAGATCAACTAGAACATAGCTAAGGGCTACAAGTGGACTAGGAACTGCACTTGCCTGTTCTTCTGTTTTATCATGCCCAGACTCTTTGCTTTCATTTTAGACATGTACATCAATCCACTGATGTGCTAGGGAGATACAATACGCAGTCCTCTTTTAGTGTTTCCTTTATGAACTTTCCTCCCACCTTTACCTTCCTTCTTGCATAAACTGGATAAATCTTCACAAGTCTCTCCAGCAGAATAATCTGTCTGTTTACCAAGTAAAATAAGGCTCGCTTTGTAAGTATTAACATAAAGTGCATTCCGATAAGTTAAACAGTTATCATTATGAATGCCAAGATTCTTAATTATTTCAGCTTCAGGATCATATGAAACCAAGAGTCCATTGTCCACTCTCCACAAAAATTCACCATTTTTCCTTGAAGCTATTGGCTTCGCCAAGAAATGAGCAACCTGACGCTGACGACCACCATTTAACAACGAGAAAATTTCATCAACAACACCAACGTTGAATGATACGTCGCTTAAACTGATGCTGAACTGTTTCACCCATGATTCTGGGTCACCATACTCTTTCATCATCCAAATATCAATCGTTTTGTCATTTGCAAAGGAACTTTCAGCCAAACTAAGTGATTCATCTGAGACAAAAAGGACAAAACCCTCACCACATAAACCAAAAAACTTCTTATTTAGACAATCCGGCACCATCATTTCCCAGAACGTCTCCTCATGCACATCAAACAGAACAATCATATATCTACCAAATCTTACCTGTTGAGAAGCAAACCAATGGCAAGCGCCATTCACATAGATTCCTGGTGTCTGCCTAAAGAATTTATAAGATGGAGAAACAGGAGTAATGTCATGCCAAACACCAGTGCTCAACTTATAAAGTTCAACATGAGGTGGAACCCTATCAACATTATCCCCAGTATCAATATGTACTATCCTTACCACCTTGTAGTCATCAGTAACACTATCGAACCCAAACCCTAACGTATGATCAAAGGGACCATGTGTCTCAAATGTAAAAATTGGTTCGGGGAGTTTTACTGTCTTTCTGATAGATGGGTTCCAGATATAGTAAAGATCCCTGTAACAACTTAGGTCGTCGGAAAGGCACAAAAGCCCATTACAACTACCCACAATATTAAAGTGACTGTAACACTCAAATGGAAAATCAAACTGGGCATACTGATCAAAATTTTCATTGTCAGAGAATAAAGCATAAATTTCTTTTACTGGTTTTCCAGAGCAATGTCGTACTAGCAAGTAATCATCTTGGTTGTTGAGGTGTACGGAAATAAAATTAGGGCTAGTAATAAGAGAATACCATGACTTACAAACACTTGTGCACTGAATGATGGACTTGATGGGAAGCCGTAGAAAGATTTCAATCAGCACTTCTTGCGGCAAATACTCGGACATATCTGAAAATCGCTTGATTTTCTTTCTCCTAATTCAGGCCCCGAATTTGTTGAAGCGAAAAAGAAAAAGGAAAAACTCTTGGTTGATAAAGACCGTGTCCGTAGTCTGTACATCTTTTTCTTTTTTTCCCTTGTTGTGTTAAGGTATAGCGTCTTGTATTTGGACGCTATATAGCCTGACGATTTGACTGACATATATAATGTTCTGAATTTATACGCTATACATATAGCGTCCAAAAAAAAACGCTATACCCTTAATTAAACATTGCCCTTCGTCTTCTTCCCCGACCAGAAACCCTTTCCCCCATTTTTTTTAACCTCCACTGCTTCTGGTCTCCCCCTGCTCGTTTTAAAAAAAAATAAAAAATTGTCGGCCCCTCCCGTCTCACAAAAGGTTAAGAACTTAGGTCCTACATCGTAGTAGAGCATCGTATTATTGCGGTTTAACTCCTTCGTCTTCAAATTTTCATACAAAACACTATATCGAGGTATTTCGATTTATTTTATGTCGAAACTTGTATAATAATGCATATTAGTTGATTGAATGTGTTTCCATGTCGTTTTGTGTTTTATTTGCGAAACTAGTATGTTAAAATTTATCCGGACTTAGATATTAGTTTTCTAAAAAAAATGTAATTTTTTATTGTAATATCCGGATTTAGATATTAGTGTTTCTATGTCGTTTTGTGTTTTATTTGCGAAACTAGTATGTTATATTTATCCGGACTTAGATATTAGTGTTCTAAAAAAAATGTAAAATTGAGATTTAATTTTTTATGTTAATATCCGGATTTAGATATTAGTGTTTCCATGTCGTTTTGTATTTTTTTTTTTTTTGCGAAACTAGTATGTTATATGTATTTTTGTGGATGTTATGTGATTAAAATGTATTTGTTGTTTATATTTAGTTTATTTATTAGCGTAATAAAATGTAGAACCTTTTAGTGTAGTAAACGGTATAGTATTTTAACGTAGAATCCCTGTAGTTTAAGTATTTCTTATGCTGGTAGATGAAAATATATACTTTGTACAAGTAAATAATCAAAAAATTGAATTTGACTCACATAGATATTCATGATAGTTTGGTGCTANAGAAAGCATTCACTCCTCTTTTCTATCTTGCATCTATAGTATTTTTGCCCTGGTGGATTTCTTTCTCAGTTAATAAATGTCTGGAATCTTGGGTTACTAATTGGTGGAAATTATCAAAATATTGAATTTGACACACATAAATATTCAAGATAGATTGGTGCTACTGGGCCTCAAATATCGAGTCTGGAACCCAATAGCTATATATATTTTGTACAATTAAATAATTATAAATTAAAAATTTATATTATAAGACAAACACACACAAAATTATCAAAATATTGAATTTGACACACATAAATGTTCATGATAGTTTGGTGCTACTGGGTCTCAAATATCGAGCCTGGAACCCAATAGCTATATATATTTTGTACAATTAAATAATTCAAAATTAAGAATTTAAATTATAAAACAAACACACACAAAATTATCAAAATATTGAATTTGACACACATAAATATTCATGATAGTTTGGTGCTACTGGGTCTCAAATATCGAGATTGGAACCCAATAGGTATATATACTTTGTACAATTAAATAATTATAAATTAAGAATTTAAATTATAAAACAAACACACACAAAATTATCAAAATATTGAATTTGACACACATAAATATTCATGATTGTTTGGTGCTACTGGGCCTCAAATATCGAGCCTGGAACCCAATAGGTATATATACTTTGTACAATTAAATAATAAACATACAATTAATGTTGTTTAATTTACAGTTGACGACATGGACACGCCGCCTATACATCCCGGCCCTTACTTTCTTGAGCTATTAGTGCTTCAGGGCGATCATAGATCCGCCCATATATGGGAGGGAGAGTTACTGTCCCAAACTCTCCGCGCTAGGAGAGTGGACGACCTGTGGGATTTTCTGAGGCCCAGAGATCTCCACGAGCGTGTAGTCCATCGCCTCCAGGATACAAGATTCTATAGGATTATTGAGATCGGGCGGATACAGGTTGACTGGGCTTTGATCACGGCGTTGATTGAGCGGTGGCGACCGAAGACGCACACTTTTCACCTGCCCATTGGTGAGGCTACCATCACGCTGTAAGACGTGGAAGTTTTATATGGCCTGCCCGTTGATGGCATGGCCGTTTCACTGCCTATTACTATGAGATCTATGTCACGTGATGCTTATTTGGACATGCTGCAGCAACTCACGGGTTTCAGGCCACAGGACGAGACTGCATCGTCGGCTGCCAGTCGGTTGACTTTGACCCCTATTAGACAGTACCTGGAGGTACTCCACCCCGATATCACCGACGATACAGAGGAGATACATATTACCCGGTATACGAGGTTGTTGTTGCTTCTTCTATTTGGAGGGTCTTGTTCCCGAACACTTCGGGGGACCTAGTCAGCCTGAGATTTCTTCATCATCTTCAGCTGTTAGATGAGTTACCCTATTACAGTTGGGGTGCTGCTGTTCTCGGCTACATGTATAGGCAGATGTGCCGAGCGAGCATGGGCACTCAGAGAGATGTTTGTGGTTTTATGCCGCTTCTACAGGTGACAACATATTCAAATAATCTGTTCATTAGTTCCAACTCTACCTAGTTAGAATTCATCTTAAACTTTACGTCAACTTTGTATGATAGGTTTGGTCCTGGGAGCGGTTCTTGCAGTTTCAGCCACCTCGACCACAATTACCTCCTAATGTAGCACCTCCGTTTCTCCCTCTAGCCAGGAGGTGGGTTCTCCGTCGTACACTTTCACGAGAGTATGATGCTCATCATAATCTCCCCCTCTGCAGGGATGTGTTGGATCTGCTGGAGGGCGCACAGGTAAATATGTACCTAAACTTACCTGGTATAGATTAACTTAGTGTTGCGCATACTCACGTTTCATGTTCTTATTTGATAGTTCATCTGGACGCCATACAACGACGATTTGATAGCTTCCCTGCCACCTTATTGCTCAGCCGGCCGACTGATTTGGAGCACTTCTACCCCACTCATATGCCTCGATATTGTGGAGCATCATGCCTCGAAGCGGGTACTTCGGTAGTTTGGCCGCCCGCAGTATATACCAAGGGGGCCTATATGGGAGCCTACACATTATCAAAGGGATGATCGTTGCAGGGCGGACGACGCATTAATGGCATGGTTAGCGGCGCAGATCCATATTTGGGACCATCGAGATCAGATGATTCCGCCCCCACCTACACAGATCCAGGAGGTGGCTATTCAGAGGTATATGTCCTGGTACCGGCACGTCACCCGAATTTTTATCGGGAACCCTATTCATCAGGCTGGCGGTCGGTACGTTCCATACGTCGGGCGACACGATGCCCTGGTATGTTTTCTGTTATTATTAATTATATAACTGTATTTTAGTGCAATATATGTAGTTTATATTTTATACGTTGTGCACGCTATTGGACTACATACAGTCTATCAGATGGGACTGCAGATGCAGGATTATCTCGGCGATCCTACGGCCGCCTTGTAGGATTACAGCCGTCGATTTGTAGAGTTGGTTGCCCGGACACTGCAGCGAGCTCGGGAGGATCAGCGTTTGGCACGCATTTCTGATTATATGGAGCCAGAGCAGTACGAGCGAGGCCCTGGTGTGGCACGAGGTGGTGGTGCCCGACGGGGTGGTAGTGCCCGACGAGGCGGGGGTGCCGAACGACGTGGCGGTGGGCGGAGAGGAGGTGGTCCCCAGCAAGGGGGCGTTGAGGCCCCTGCTGATTATGTTGTTGCCGATCTGCCCGGTGGCCTACATGAGATCCGTCATACAGCCTTGGGATGGATCTCACTCAAGGGACTTCGCAGGTGACCCCGTCAAGTCAATTATTGATCACGGGCACGGACCTTTCTAGAGTGGATTGGGATACATACTTTCCAGGCCTGTCTACTGTTGCTAAGGAGCGGCCGACACGAGATTTACATAGTGGGCGCCGGCTGAGTTATGGTTCATCATCACAGGCGCAAGTATGGTTTTCTTTGTATTGAATTAGAATTTGTCTTTATTTTCCATAACTTTATTAATTTCCTTTTTAAGGCTGAACGCGATGCTGACATGATTGCGACAGATGATTACATTCAGGAGCCCGACGAGATGGTGGTAAGACAATTTAAATTGTTGTGACTTATTATATACTTTGCTACACTGAGCTTTCTATTCTTATCTAGGTTTCTACTGGACTGACGACCCCTTCTACTGATCCTGTCAGCACCACTGATGATCATGCTGTGGCGTATCCGGCTATAAGGAGGCGACTTAATGATGACGATCCCGATAGCGTACCCAGGCGGGATGCGATGCGCCTCAGGCCAACGGTTGCGATGAAGCACACTGGATGCGGACATATTAATTTTCTTCACTTTTATTTTGTATTTGATGTAAATAATACTTTTGTATATACATTAACAATAATTTTTATATAATTAGTTTCGTACTACAAGACAAACACAAGCATTAAAACTTAACTTCCATTACAATTAATGAAAATAAAGCTCAGTACAACTAATTTAGTTTAATACTACAACACAAACACAAACACAGCAACTTAACATAATTAAAATTCAGTTCAACAAATAAAAATACATGACACGGGAAACATAAAGATAAAGTAACACACTAAACACATACATGTCAATGTTTAGTCCCTGCCGTCAATTATTTTTTGCTCCAACCACTTAAATTGTTCACCCGGCTTATTTTTTTTCTTCTTCTACCTCTTTAAGTTTCGCTTTCAACTCCGCAACCTCTCTTTTATGTTCTCTTTCACGTTCCCCCTGTTGTAAACACACATTATGAAGATGCTGGAAATATTCTTTGTAGTATTCCTGATAACAGGGTTCATCAACCCATACCTCAAAATCGCAAATAGGTTCGTCGGCAACCTTATAAAACTTGTTCATATAGTGCCAGTAGCGCCGTCCAACTTCACCATTATCCCAACATCTTTGCATCATGCATTTTTTTCCACACTCGCACCTTGGTACATAAAGAGGTTGAGCCATTTCTGCGTTAAAAAAACCTTGCTTTTCTTGACAGAT